GTCATCATGTTTAGTTGCTAGTTATGAGGGCAACACAAAAGGATTGTGGTACTATCAATTCAAGTATATATACCAATTATAGTTACGAGCTTAGCACCTAATCCAATAATAACAAGGACCTTCCCTAGGCCACTAGCATAGTTGTACTCTAACAGTACCTCTATCCTACCATGCAAAGGAGTGAGAAACTTACGTGAACTGATCAACCGAAGAAGCATGACAACACTCGCACACCTTCCACTGCTCAATCTCATGAACTGACTAATCACCAAAAGAAATGAATCCTATATTAACAACCCAAATCGTACAAGTTTGACCACAAGTAAATCCGGTCAAAAGTCAACAGTCAAAGGTCCATAAAGTCAACGGTTGACCAAGTCAACAGTCAACATCACGTCACGTCGTAGCACACCATGTGTCACATCGTGAGAAGGCAAGGACAAAACAGTCGCGACTCCGAGCACTGTCACGTCGTGACAAACCCTATGTCACGTCGTGACTTCTGGCAGATTGCCAAAATCTTCATTAAGTGCTTAATTCCTTTAGATCAAGGCCCATAACTTCATATCTAGTTCCTTTCATCGACTTAATGGATAAAGTTTCCAAATTTATCCATTAGGACTCCATCTCAAAGATATATCTACAATCCCAAGTTCATTAAGTCCTTAATATGACCTTAACTTGCTCATGGACTCAAAATAACTCCACACATGACTCTTTTCTCATTCTCAGAAACCTAAGGACCATTTGAGAGTCACAACAAGCTCTGGCGTTCCTCAAACTCCAAGAACAATCATGGAAGGGACTAAAAACATCTAAATGAGACCAAACTTGAAAAACAAGAACAAGGATCAAGATGTGAACTTTATACCTCCAACAACTCCAAAATCTGAAGGGAATGAGGGATAAAAGTTAGCTCTTTGCTTCCTTACACCACAATGAACTTCCTTCTTCTTCAAGTTTCACCATAAAACAAGAACTAGGCCTCCTAACTATCAAATAAGCTCACAAACATGAAATGGGGCTAGGGTTGCAGCTGAAAATGGTGCCTTAGATCACGAGTTAATGGATTTAAATATGGAGGAACCCAAAAAAAAATCATGCGCTTGGGTTGCAGCTGTTGTCACGTCGTGACACTCCATTTGTCGCATCGTGACAACCATCCAGAGCACACAATCTTTACTTGCCATGCTACGTCGTGACACCCTTCATGTCACGTCGTGACGTATGGTTTTCCTCAAAAACCATGCATTTGACTCCTTTATACCATCCACTGATCCAATTTGGGAAACGGGTGTTACACTTATTTGATATATTTAAATAAACTATCTTATTTCTATAATTTATATTTAAAATAAATCAGTGATCATGAGTTATTGTGAGAACTTAAAGATTTGTGATAACGTGAGAACTAAGCGTCCGCAGTTGAGAACTACGCGTCAACAGTCATATGGATTGAGGACGCAGATATGCATCCATTCATATATATGAATCAACAATGGATTGTGGTCGCAGATATGACTGATGATTCATATATATGCATGCATGCATATTTATAATAATATTTTTCAAAAAAAAATCAGCAAATCTTTTTTTAGCCTAAATACGACTTAGACTTTACATTTCATTAATATTTGTGGTTTTGATTTTGAAAAAATGATGAACGGATTAAGAGTTTTTAAGTTCTCCCAAATATTTTGGTTTTCAAAAGAACTTTCCTCTCTCTCTCTCTCTCTCTCTCTCTCTCTATATATATATATATATATATATATATATATATATATATATACACAATTCTCGCAAATATTTTGGTTTTCAAAAGAATTTTCTTTTTTCTCTCTCTCTCTCTCTCTCTCTATATATATATATATATATATATAATCAATGATGGGAATGTCAAGTCCACCAAGCAAATTACACCCTTTGTTTGCAAATAAAACGTAATATAATGGTAAAAAGGGGGTATGATCCTCGGGGAAATGGTTGTATTCAATCACCAATGCAATCTAAAAGAACTATTGTAAATAAACTAACTAAATACAATTAAACTAAAAGGGGGTGTTATGATTGCTTGAAAACTAAAAGACTTGAATAACTAAAAACTTGCAATTAAGCAAGATAGTGAGATGCTCACAAATTGGAGAGAGTTGGTTAACTAAGGCAATTCAACACAATGAACATTTGTGTGCTTATCATTAGGATTCAACATGAAGCTTATCATTCATCCCAAATTGGTTATAGCAATCATGAAGCATGATATGCCAAGATTCCTCTTAGGTAGTATGGAGGTTGGGGAAGCCCACAACACACCCTCTTAATCAAGATCAAGGGTTTAATTGAAGCAATTGAACCCAAGAAGTTAATTAGCCTTAAGAAAGAAGGAATCCCCAATTCCTAGAGGATGTCAATGCTTACACATCCATAAAGGAGCTATGATTCATAAACTAGAGATGATTTTTACCATCATAAAGCCCTTGTTCTAAGTTAATTCAATGATTTAATGCAAAACCAAAGAAATAAACTAACAATAGCTCATTCAAGTGCCAAGCTCATGATCAAAGCATTAAACAAGCATAAGAAATATGATATAGAACCATAAACATAAGATAGTTGATAATCTAGCATGAATCCTTCAAAAACCCACAAACATTCAAAGGTTTTAACCAAAGTTAACCAATATAAAGAGTTTAGCCACTCATGGCAATAGAACAACAATCACAAAAGTCTAATTGCATAAAGAAACTACCAAAAATCTTGGAAAGATGAAGAGAAATGAGTCTTGAGCTTCAAAAATCGCCTCCTACAGGTCTCCAATGGTGTAAAATCAAAGTTATGGCTGCTAGGTCTGATCCCCCAAGGTAATGGCAAGCCAAATGACCAAAATGCCCAAACTGGGCAGTTGCGCGGGTACTCGCGCAACGGAAATTCTACCCGCGCAAATGTTGCTGTTATGTTATTGGTCCTTCATTCCACCACTCCACCCTTCCACTACCAAAGATTCCTTTGGTCCCCTCCATATCCATGTAATTCAAATCAGCCAATCATCTTTTATCTTCAAATGTGGATGCTCCAAACCCAAAATTAATTATCCATGATCCATCTTCACAAGCCCACTTCATCCAAGCCTTTATCTTTTTAAGCCCAATCTCCTTTGGTGGATCCGCCAAGCCCAATAGCGCCTCGAGAGCCCACAAGTCCGTCTTCACTCTAATCCACAATCGCGATAAGCTCCAAAACCCTGCAAAATACCTCATGCAACATAAAAAGCACCCGGTACGATCCATACTAAAGAAAATAAATAAAATACAATGCAATAATGATAAAAAGATCTAAAAATCTAAAATAAACTAATAAAAATAAGGAAATAAAATAAGCTATCAAATCACCCCAAGCTTAAACCTAACTTGTCCTCAAGTTAGAACAAGACTAATATGAGATCGGGATGAGCTAAACTAAAAAGGAAAAAGAAAGGTACCATAGAACTTGGTCAACATCAGTCAACATGGTCAGAATTAGTCCTTCATGGACCCTACGCATCCTCAAAATGTTCCCCGCTTTAGAGCCATAAACCACATTCTCAACCACTTGATGGGCGAATAGATCACGGCTGGATGTAGTCGCGGTGTGCAAGACAAAGGAAACAGAGATGCGCCCAGTGGGGACACTTTAAATCACCAATGTAGACCATAGTGCACGAAGGAAAGGCGCCTCTTCACACACTATGATTCCTACATTTGTCAGGCTAAAGTGTATAGTACGAAATAGGGCTTTGCAGCGCGGCCTCCGGGCAAACATCCGGTTTCAGAAGTTTCTCCCTTGTACTGTCCTTTACAGTCTACCGTCTCATCGTCAAGGCCTTTTCTCACCAAAAATCAAAAATAAAATAAAATAATAAAATTCTACTTAACCTAAACTTAAACCTAACAACTTAAATCTTCAATCTTGGACTTCGGTTATTTGGTCTTCAGCCTCTTTGCTGCCTGATATTCAGTTTTCTCGTTTTTTTTTAACTAAAGCCTTGAACTTGGATTCTTGTTCTTCTTTTAGTGTTGCTCTTTTTCTTCATTTTTTTCTTCTTTGATTTTGTTGCTTTTCTTTAATCCTCTTCATTGTTTCTTTTTGTCTTCACTTTTCCAATTTCTTCATTTTTTTGTGTTTTCTTCTTTGAAGGTCTAAGGAATTTCACCATGTAACAAATGATGGAGGCTAACATGAACGCCAAATGATCATTGACAATGTGCCAAGATCAACTAAAAAGGGTGGGATATGACACAAAAATGGGTGTTACCGAAAAAAAAACTTGGTCCCAAAAGATGTGAATTGGGGGACCCACTTCAAAGTTCATCAAGCACCTCAATGCAAGGTGTGATAAACAAAATCTATCTAAGTATCTACTCTAAACCCCTAGAAAAATGATAACCTATCCTAAAAAGGTGGTGAGAATCTAACTAAGTAAGGCTCGGACGAGACTCGGGAGTACTAAGGGGTACTCCCTCCAAAACCAAGATGCGAGTCTTCAATATCTTCAATGTCTTCAAAATACCTTACCGGGCCTAAACTTTGCTCGCACACATTGGCATGACCAACCACATCCCTCCGCACCTAGACCCAATCAAGCTACTTGCATCTGACCCCCACACAAGCGGTCTCAAAGTGGTCTGTGAGGCTCAAAACGTGTCCCATTTATCCAATACAAGGAATTCCATATCAAGACCCGGGACCAATCTATGATTCAATACTCATGACTCGGCGCTCTGGTACCTGTAGGGATGAGAAGACAAGAGAGAACAAAAATGCATGAACTTAAACTAGAATGCATCTAAAAAGTATGAAAATTAGAAAAGAAAGAAACAAAATATGCAATATTTTTGAAATTTTTATGCAATTTTTTTATGAATGACCTAAATGAGTTACTCTAAATGCAACTATATACAACCTAAATGCAATAAAAATAAAAATATAAGAATACCTCACCCCAAGCTTAATATTTAGCATTGTCCTCAATGCTTAGGATGAGAGTAAGGAAGGATCATACCGGGATCAAGATGGAGGAGGCCCACGAGGGGGGTAACCGTTGTCGGGCCGAAAATGATACCAAAGATCCTCCATATATTTGTTGGCGCGGGCTTGCTGCTCCTCGATGCGGCGAATGGCGGCTGTATTCCGATTGCCCTGGAGGCGCAAGGAAGCAAGCTGACTGTAGATATCAAGAGGAAACTCATGTTTGGATCGGGCTCATTGTGCTGCGGTTGAGAGTGGTACTCATGTTGTGGCTCAAAATGTGCTCCCGAAGGCTGACCATAAAGGGGTGGTGGCAATTGTTGGATCGGGAGGTCATAATGGTCTTCGGTTTCAAATGGACTACCAGCATTGGAATGGTCGACCTGCATTTCATCATCATCGTCTAAATCGTCAGGTAAGAACCAAGTTTCAGGGTCGCTGGTGGAAAAGGCGGAGATGCTAGGGTTAGGTAAGATGTAAACTGGGTCTTTTACATGATTGAGCCAAGAATAATGGTTAGGACGGGTAGGATGAGGTGTCAATAATTCCATCCGGGTGAGAGCGATGTAGTCAAGGAGATAGAGAGGTGGGTCATCCACTGGCACATACTCAGACTCGGGAAATTGAAGGCCCACACCCAAACCAATTAGGGTAATGAGACCTCCAATGCAAATGTCGCCAGTGGTCTTCATGCGAATGCTGTCACATTTATCCAGAAAAAAGGTGGTGAAACCGGGCAAAGACCAACGCCGATGGCTCATGCAATAGAGGAAATAGAGCTCGACTGTGTTGATTTGTCCCGGCTCGTGACGGGCAAAGATGGAAGTTGAGAGGATCCGGTGGGCAATTCTCCAACAAGGATGGATGATGTAAGTATCTTTTTGTCGACTTGGATTGAAGTTTGGAATACTTGTGATTTGAGTCCAAAACTCTATTTTGGGCAAGCTCTTGAATTGAGTCCATTGATAGCTATAGATGTCGGTGTTGTAGTTATCGTATGTGCCCATGATAGTGTTTAGGGTGTCGTATGTGAGTCGGTGATGTCGACCCTGGAGTTTAAATGTGAGCACCCCCTGCCGTGTCATCTCGTGCATAAGTGGAAAGGAACTCTAGTGTGGGTTGTTTGTATGTGCGCGCGGAAAGAGCGAGGAACTCGTGCCAACCGATGTTGAAGAACAGCTGTTTCAGGCAATCGTCAAGGCCAAGGTACGTCATTGAGTCTTGGTGGTAAAATTTGGTGGCTCGAATTGCACGTTTTTGGAGGTTTGACTTGAATTGTTTGATTTGCGCGCTAGTGAGGACAAGGTTGCCCTCACGATCGGTATTCTCGGTTGACGCTTTTTGTGTGGATCGTGAGGATGAAGCCGCACGGGAAGAACCATGAGAGGCGTGAATGGTTTTGTCCCTTGCCATTGTACCTGTTAATAAACCTAGCAAACACAAAAACTTGGCCAAAATTATCCCTCAAACTCGCCTCACACCAATCCAAACAAACTAAATAATGAGAATATAAAACGGGCAAATATTCCAAACTTGCAATTTGGTACAATTCAATGCAATTCGATCAATTCAAAGCAAACTAAGTCCAATTCAAATCAATCTAATGCATAGCACAAGCTAATTGAAATTAGAAGTTGAATGCAATAAAATTAAAGAAATGTACCGAATTCGTGTGTTGAAACCCAAAAAGAAATTCGCTAAAATCGCACCCCAAGCTTGAAGTTGACCCGAAAGATTGAATCTTTTGAATCTCCGATGAGAAACAAAAATTTTTGAAATTTTTGGTCAAAACGAGTGGCGGCGGCCGGCGGTGGCGACAGACGGCGGTCGGCGGCGGAGACAGACGGCGGCCGGCGGCGGAGCTTGGATTCCGGCGACGAGATTGTCCCGAATTAAAAGTAGATCGGTGTGTGGTGGAGTGTTTGGTTAATAATGCCCCAAGAAATTTTGGATTTGACTGAGATTTGGCTTCGGAATCGGGTTTTGAATGATTTTCCGGCTAGGGGATAATGGTGGCTACGGTTGGCTGTTCTCGGAGTTAAAAGGGTGGGGTTTAGTCGGAATTAGGTGGGGAATGTGGTGGTGGGGGAGCGCCGGCGAAGGGAGCAGCGGGGAGGCAACAGCGGTGAGTTTCGCTTTTCCGGCGACGAGAGTTGGACGAGATCGGGCTGCCGACCGGTTGCTGGAGGGAAGCGCTGGCCGGCGGAACTTGCTGGACGGAGGCACTGACCGATGGCGCTGATTGATTGCGGCGGCGACAGACGGGATCGTCGGTGGTGCAGGGGGGTTTCGTTGACGGGAGGAAAAGGGGGGGGGGGAAGGGGTCCGACGGGTTAAGTGGGGGTATAAGGTTGGGTTAAGGAAGAATGGGTCGGATTTTCGGGTCGGAAGCGGGTGTGGATCGGACTGGAGCGGGCCGGGGGCGGTCTTCCGGGTGGAGTTATAAGGGGGGGGGGGGGGGGGGTCGCGCAACTTGAAAGCGGAATTTTCTTCTTAGCCGCGCAAACATTTGCGAGGGTGGATTTCGGCCGCGCGCAACTCACAGTTTGCATCCCATGTTGGTGCAATTTGGAACTCGGAACCTGCGCGGCTAGGGGTCGGTCGCGCAGAGGTTGCGCGGGTAGCCGCGCAAAAGTCAAATTTTTTTGAATTATGTTGATTAGTGGAAAAGAGGAAGAAGCTTGAACTATTTGTTGTTGCTTTGCTTGTTTGGCTAACTTTTTCAACCTTTTTGCTTCTTTTTCAATTTCCGGATTGTAGAGTAGTTCACCGGTTCTTGTAGACCTAGGCATAAACAATCAAATAACAATAACCAATTTCCCCCGAAACGGCGCCAAAACTTGATGGGAATGTCAAGTCCACCAAGCAAATTACACCCTTTGTTTGCAAATAAAACGTAATATAATGGTAAAAAGGAGTATCGATCCTCGGGGAAATGGTTGTATTCAATCACCAATGCAATCTAAAAGAACTATTGTAAATAAACTAACTAAATACAATTAAACTAAAAGGGGGTGTTATGATTGCTTGAAAACTAAAAGACTTGAATAACTAAAAACTTGCAATTAAGCAAGATAGTGAGATGCTCACAAATTGGAGAGAGTTGGTTAACTAAGGCAATTCAACACAATGAACATTTGTGTGCTTATCATTAGGATTCAACATGAAGCTTATCATTCATCCCAAATTGGTTATAGCAATCATGAAGCATGATATGCCAAGATTCCTCTTAGGTAGTATGGAGGTTGGGGAAGCCCACAACACACCCTCTTAATCAAGATCAAGGGTTTAATTGAAGCAATTGAACCCAAGAAGTTAATTAGCCTTAAGAAAGAAGGAATCCCCAATTCCTAGAGGATGTCAATGCTTACACATCCATAAAGGAGCTATGATTCATAAACTAGAGATGATTTTTACCATCATAAAGCCCTTGTTCTAAGTTAATTCAATGATTTAATGCAAAACCAAAGAAATAAACTAACAATAGCTCATTCAAGTGCCAAGCTCATGATCAAAGCATTAAACAAGCATAAGAAATATGATATAGAACCATAAACATAAGATAGTTGATAATCTAGCATGAATCCTTCAAAAACCCACAAACATTCAAAGGTTTTAACCAAAGTTAACCAATATAAAGAGTTTAGCCACTCATGGCAATAGAACAACAATCACAAAAGTCTAATTGCATAAAGAAACTACCAAAAATCTTGGAAAGATGAAGAGAAATGAGTCTTGAGCTTCAAAAATCGCCTCCTACAGGTCTCCAATGGTGTAAAATCAAAGTTATGGCTGCTAGGTCTGATCCCCCAAGGTAATGGCAAGCCAAATGACCAAAATGCCCAAACTGGGCAGTTGCGCGGGTACTCGCGCAACGGAAATTCTACCCGCGCAAATGTTGCTGTTATGTTATTGGTCCTTCATTCCACCACTCCACCCTTCCACTACCAAAGATTCCTTTGGTCCCCTCCATATCCATGTAATTCAAATCAGCCAATCATCTTTTATCTTCAAATGTGGATGCTCCAAACCCAAAATTAATTATCCATGATCCATCTTCACAAGCCCACTTCATCCAAGCCTTTATCTTTTTAAGCCCAATCTCCTTTGGTGGATCCGCCAAGCCCAATAGCGCCTCGAGAGCCCACAAGTCCGTCTTCACTCTAATCCACAATCGCGATAAGCTCCAAAACCCTGCAAAATACCTCATGCAACATAAAAAGCACCCGGTACGATCCATACTAAAGAAAATAAATAAATAACAATGCAATAATGATAAAAAGATCTAAAAATCTAAAATAAACTAATAAAAATAAGGAAATAAAATAAGCTATCAATCAATTTCATTTGAAAAACCAAACAAATATATTTCCATAGTAGAGATAATTTCTCATAAGAGAAAAAACGTGCAATGACGCCGCACGTTACAAATTATAGTGACATGTGAAGCGTAATTTGGGAGTTGCATACTAGTCATACACGTTTAAAAACTTAATTCAACTTTTTTGGTCAAATCATTTGATAGTTTTAATGTCTTTTGATATTTCCCTAATAACTATTTTTTAACTACTATTCGGATAAATGATGTTTGTATAGAATAAGTAATGAATAGAAAATCACAATATAAATGTGGATCTGTGTTTTTTTGGAGATTTGATCAAAACAAAGAGAGTAGGAAATTGATCTGATGATAAATAATGAAGCTTTAGATAAAAATTAAATAAAAACTCAATAAATTATCGAGAAAAATATTACTTCCATGGATTTTTTTTGGTTATGTTAAGAACAAGTAATTTCATATGATAACGAATTTAAGTTGCGTTAAATTGAAAATCAAAATTCACTTATTGATGTGAATGGTGATCTTACGGCGTTATCTTTTAAAACTCAAGTTATTATACCAGTTATAGAAATTGTAACCATCAAATGTTACATCTCTTGAAACTCAACACGAGAAAAGGTTTTATATGAGCGTAAGCTTATTAACAGTTATTTATAGAATTTAACAAAGTTTCATTTAGTATTTTCAATATTAAGTCTTTAAAAATTAATACATTTTATTGTTTCCAAAATATTAATTTACTAAAGTCTAGGATCCATGTAATGAAACAAGTAAATGGTATGTGACCCTTTATCCCATCCATTTAATCAAACTCGGTAGGTAGTTATTACCAATTGCATAAGATATGTAACTCCTAGATAATGGGATCCCAAACAACTTTTGTTTATCTTGGCATATTTGATCTCATCTAAGCCTTGGACCTCTCATGCTTAGGTGACATTTATCCACAAGATTCTGATCAAGTCATCTACTTGAAACAACTTGTAGTATTGCAACTAACCAATGACAAGGTGACCCTTTAGTCACTAGAAACTAAAAAAGTACCCCGAACATCATAAGACAATCCTAGTGGTTAGCTATCTCATCGCCACTAAGATCATACATATGATACCGAGTGTACTTGTAACGACCCAAAATTTTCAAATAAAATTTTCATTTTTAATTAGCCAAACATTCCCATAAAATGTGAAGTAACATTAACCACTATTT